GAGGAGCCTGCTCTGCTGCTTCAGGTGGCCGCTCTCCACTGGTGATGTCCTCGACCTTTGGCAGCTATAGTGCTCCAGGTCCACCATCTTGGTCCTCAGCTCCGCCTCCACCATGCGCTACGCATGTCGTTCCTCTCGCACTGCAAGTCTCACTTGCTCGGGCGACGCCTTCACCACCGCACATGGTAGCGCCACCCACTAGTTGCCCCGCACCTCGCCCATGCTGATACCTGGCCTCCATCTGTGATGAGCGCGCTGACCTGGGAGACCCTCATCCTTCATCATGCGCCACACCGCTACCATGTCGCCGGGCAGGTTCTTGGCCACGAGTCTCGACAGAGAGTCCAGTGCCCGTCGCGCCGTCAGCTTCTCCTATTGCAGGAGCACCTTTAGGCGTGCGGCGGTCCTGATCCGCGCCTGCTGCGCCACGACCGGGTCATTCACGATCGCGCTGTTGGTGATCACGTGCAGGTTGTCCTTCAGCAAGTCACCTGGCACCTCTGTGCTGCGACCGAAAACCATCAGCATAGGGGACACACCGGCTACCGAGAGGAGGCTGTTCTTGGCCAGCATCAGCTCCGTCACGCACTCGCGCCACTCGGTCTCTGTCTGGGTCTGCGCCTTCCGAGTGACGTTATCCAGCATCATCTCGAACTGCTCTGGTTGTGGTGCTCGATCTTGCCGTTGTGCTTCTTCGAGCCGCTTGCCATGTCCACCACCTCGATGTCCTGGCGCTCGCACCAGTTGAGGAACTCGTCGATCACCTGGGCCCTATGAGGGTCCACCTTCAGCCACATTGGTCTCATGTACGGGCGAACCCACGCCTACCCGAACGTCTCCGTGAGGTTCTTCGAGGTCTTCGGCATGCCGATCATCGGCTCCATCTGACGCAGTGCGCTCGTCTCGTCGATTCTGCCCAGGCGCGTGATCCGCTCCCCTAGATTCTAGCTAGGTATCTCCGTGCAGTCCATGCTCACGAACTTCAGCGGAAGGAGGCAGTTCTGGATTGAACTATGAGGCCGACGACAGACATCCCGCGTCTCGCCCGCGTCCTCCTCAATCACCTCAGGTTCCACCCCCTGCACCGCACAGCACCCAGCTTCACCGCAAAAAAAAACACCCAGCTTCACTGCTGAACGCCTCCACCTGGCACTGACGACGCACGCCGCGCACGACAGCCTCCACCGGCCTCCGGGGATACCGCTCACTAAACACCGTGCGCTTGACCCCGCACCGCAGCATGCCCTCCGCGTGCTGATGCTCATGTCCACCACCGCATCTCCTGTGAGCCGCTCTCGCCACCTCAGGCGCGGATGCCACGAACTCCCAGCTCTTGGGCACCAGTTTGAGAGTGCCTGGGCACCTCAGGCCGAACTCGCAGCCGCTCGCGACGCCTGCGTACAGACATTTCATCTCCAGCAGCTGCCTCATCACGGGCACCATGAGACTCGTGCACGTGTGCTTGCCAAGCTCCATCTGGTAGATCGCCACCTCCACGACCACGTGCACCAGACTCACGGCGCACCTCACGTCCTCGAAGTGCTGCGCTACCGCCGTTTGCGAAATAAACGCCCACGTGTGGAAGTACCGAGATCCCCGCCCCGCGCCCCGCATTTCAATGTTGGCCACCGAACACGCCGAAGGGGAGCGCGAAGCGTTGCGAAATAAACGCCCACTTATGTTGGACTGCCCAGCCCTCCCCGTCAACCTTGAAATACGGGGGACAGGGGGCGTGCTTCGTCGTCTTGTTTTCGATCCCTAAGATGGGCGTTTATTTCGCAAACGGCGGTGCCCCCCACGAGCGTCTTATAGTGATACAACGCTGTACATTCACACACAAATATATGTATATTCCCATATTTATATGTTGTATGTGTATATATATATATATATATATATATATATACACGTGTATATATAAGTGTGTATGTACACCCTATTTGCACATCCATATGCCTTTCCCCTATGTGTGCATACACCCATGCATACACGTACGTGCATGCATGCGTTCACGCCGCCACGCAATCCGAGGCTATTCACGCGACGCTACCCGTGCGGAATCGTCCGGTGGCGACACAACGCTGATGACCCCCCTTACTCTCCCCTGCAGCTTCCGCCCCCTCTGCCCTGTCTACCTCGTCTCGCACTTCTACCCCTTCGAGGCGTCATTTCCGCGCAAAGACGATGGATGCGCTGCCGGGTGCCGCGCGCGCGCGCGCGTAACCCCACTGGGCGGCGCCAGCGGCGCCCGCGCGCGCGTGCTCACGGGAGTGCAAAAGCTGACAGGCGGGCGCTCGCAAATCAAGTGGACTTGGCCAGCGGTGCCCGCGCGCGCGTGCTTCCGGAAGCGCAGAAGCTGAGAGGCGGGCGTGCGCAACCCAACTGGACTTCGCCAGCGGTAACCGCACGCGCGCCCTCGCGAGCATGCAAAAGACGTGGGGCGGAGCGCTGGGGGGAAGCCCCCGGCGCTGCCCGCGCGCTCCCTCAGGGCGAAACCGGAGAGCCGATTTGCCCAAGAAGTCTGCGCTTCTGGAGCGGGAGCAGCAAGGCCCACGAATTCAGACGGACCCAGTCCGCGGGGAGCACCTCGTCCACGGCAACCGCACCCATCGCGCGGACATCCGCCAGCAAGGCGTCTGCCTGCGCGCGGGGTATGCGCGCGTCGGACATGAGGTCGTCGAAGCCGCTCACAGGCGGCACGCCCGCGTCTGCCCCGACCGGCGCAGCGGGCGCCGGGCGGAAAACGCCGACGGCGTCGAACTTTGCCGCCTCCCGGACGATCCACGCGGTCATGCACGGAGCACACGAGAGTACGTCCTGCAAAGAGCCGTCCGACAAGACGGAGGTGAATGGGAACTGCCTCGCGCGGTTCTGCATGTGCCGGATGTCCTCCGCACCCACCTTATTCGTCGTCTCCCAGAGGCCCTCCAGCTTGCCCGTGAAAACGGCGCCGTGGTTCCAGCAGACGTCCTTGTTCCCGTCGTTGAAGGACTGGGAAACCTGGATCTCGGTGTGCTGGCCGACGAACAGAGACAGGAACAAAGAGACGGGGGCGGTCTTCTCGTGGGCGAACTCAACCGGCCGGAAGTCGTCCCAGAAGATGAACCGCTTCGTGCCGCTGGCCAGGTTCCGGAGTCCAAAGGAGGAGCCCAAGGCAGGCTTGTGCATAACCCGTTTCGGAGTGAACAAGTCGTCGAAAGGGTAAACCACCGTGCTCTTCCCGGAATTCGACGGCCCCACCAGGAAGGGCACCCTCGTCGTCTTCTTCGGGCCGACCATCAGAATGTCCCGCAGAGACGCCGTTAACGTCGAAAGAAGCGGCGTTGCGGGAGAAGATGGTCTCCACGGCTGACCTGTACGAGCACGCCGGGCCATGGGGACATGTCTCCTCAGCGCAGCGGCACACGGGCGCCCAATCGTCCACCGCCTCGAAGGCCGCGTTCTCGCGGGCAGACGCCCACTCCTTCGTCTCCTCAAGGTCCGCCGTCAGCTTGCGCACTCGGCTGCGGACGAACCGCTGCATGGCCTTCGTCCCGCGGTCCTGGACGTACGCCATCAGACGCGCGGGCAACGCGTTGCACGATGTTCTGGACACACGTGCAAACGACATGAAGCCGCAATGATACGCAGGCTGTGTCCCGCGCGGGCCTGCACTAAGGCAAACGCGCGTGAAGCGCAGGAGTCGCGAGCACCGCAGGGCCCTCGCCATGGGCAGTCGAGCACCTCCCGAAAGGCAGGGATGGAACAGTAGCAGCACGGCTACGATTTTCAAGTCCACGGATCCACGACACGTTTCTCGGTGCATGCGCTGCGGCAGGAATTCTGAAATCTCTCGGCGGTCACTGAGGAAAAATCCGCTCTGGCAGAGGCCGAGCCGCCGGTTCGGCTGGCTCCCCGGCCGCGGCTGGAAAAATTGCGTCGTGGCAAAGACCGTGCCGCCGACTCGGCTGATCAGCGCCAACGCTCCCGGGCCGCAGGCTCAATCGCTCGGGATCCTGCCTCCCTCGGCCACGACGCCCTCCGCCGCCTTCGTCTTCATCTTAGCCACGGCTGCCCTGATGACGCTCTTCGGGATGCCCATGGCGACGCGCCTGAGGCGCGCCTTGTAAGCGCTCTGAGACTCGTTGGCCGGCGCGCTCTGCTCTGCCATTCGCCGGTTGACCTCCGCCCAGAGGAAATAGTCGAGGGGGTTCAAGTCCGGGGAATACTTGGGGAACTTGATGGGGGTGATCTTGAGACCCCGCCTGAGAGCGACCGAGCGGGGTCGACCGAGGCGCGAGCGGCGGGCGATCAAGAGCGGGCGCCGAGTGGCGGGGCGATCGCCAGACGGGGCCCGACTCGAACTCGCGGCCGCCGCGGTGGCGCGCCAACTAAGGGGGCCGCTTGCAGTCAACGGCCTTCTTGCTCTTGTACCCCGCGGGGTCGTTATCCCCCAGGATGCGGAAGGCGCGGCGCCCCTTCCGGCAACGGCGAAGCGCGGGAGCGAGGACGCCCGCGTAGAAATCGCAGGCTGCGTCGGCGCACCACAGGGTGGGCAGGTAGTGCCAGACGCGGACCTTGTTGTTCACGATGGCTGCGGCCACGTGAACCTTGGCGCCTGGGTTCACCCTGTTCTGGTTCCCCTTCGGCTTCGTGAAAGGCTTGAGGACCTCGGGGGAGGGCCCGGCCAGCCGGCCCCCCGCCCGGCCCCCCCCCCCGCCCCTCGCATCCGAAAGAAACTACGCCAATAAAAACCCTCATACCAGAAAGAAACGACGCCAAGAAAAACATGTCCGATCACCTGGACGGGGCCGATCAGACCCGATCAGACTTGGATCGCAGACATGGATCGGGGCAACGATCGGGGGCGGAATCGGCATCTCGACTTCAGCGGCCCGGCGGCCCCCGCCCCCAGCCCCTGGGATCGCACTCGGGACCGAGAGTCGCGCCCCCTCTGCCTTGGTGCGAAGGTGGCCGCGAACGCGACTCTTCTTTGCGTGCGTCTTCGCCCGCTTGGTCATGGGGATGGAGAACACCTTATTGTCGATGATGGCATCGACCTGGTGCGTGAAATAGTTGCCCGGGAGCCGCTTCCACCCCGAACACGCGGCCGCGCGCTCCTCCGCCTCAGCGGAGCCGCGGAGCGGCTCCGCGCGGGGAGCGCGCCAGGTGACCCCGAGGCGCTAGAAGTGCCTGGAGGCCGTGCCCTTGTGGACGTCGGAGACCCGCGCGGCCTTCATCACGTCCTTGAGGTGAACCTCGGCCTCGCCCTTGGCCGCCCGAATCAAACGAACCCGCGCGTTGTTCAAGGCGCGGAGCTTGACGGCCGTGAGCTTGGGCTTGCGGCCGCGAGTCTCCGCTGGGCCACGCCTGTGCGTGGCGCCCCGGAGGGCCCGGCGGACGGTCGTCAAATCCGACTCGCCTACACATGTGCTTGCCGCCAGCTGGAGCTCTTAGGGACCTGGGCGTCAAAGCTGTGTCCGTCACTGGGAGTTTGTCCTCTCTGGGCCATATTGCGTCCTCTCAAGGCCGGGTTGAGCTGTTGAGGCCGTCTTGGGGCGTTTGAGGGGCTTTGGCCGTCTTGGGTTCTCTCCTGGGGCCCTCTCGGGGCTCTTGGGGGGCATCTGGGCCCCAGCGGCGTAGAGCGAGAAGCAGCGGTCGAGCTCCCTCTTGCTGAGGTGGGGCGCCATCTGGGCCCGCGACCGAAAAAGGGGTCAGATGGCCTCGGGGCGGGGCGAGGCCGTTGCTGCGGTGACGACTGAGCCGAAACAGCTGCGCCAGGTGAACGGAAGGCTTGTCGATGTGACCGGAGCACGCGGCGGCATTCATAGTCTGGCGTCGCTCTTGACGCCGCCCTCAAGACGGGCGGCTTCGGGCAGCCTCAAAGTCCTTGCAGGGCGCCAACGGGAGAGCGCAACCCGTTGGGCAGCGGGGAGGGGGCCAGTCTTGCAGCGCAACCCATGCAGATGCCCGTAGCCGAAGATGCCATGGCAAATGAGTCCGCCGTTTGCGAAATAAACGCCCACGTGTGGAAGTACCGAGATCCCCGCCCCGCGCCCCGCATTTCAATGTTGGCCACCGAACACGCCGAAGGGGAGTGCGAAGCGTTGCGAAATAAACGCCCACTTATGTTGGACTGCCCAGCCCTCCCCGTCAACCTTGAAATACGGGGGAAAGGGGGCGTGCTTCGTCGTCTTGTTTTCGATCCCTAAGATGGGCGTTTATTTCGCAAACGGCGGTGCCCCCCCACGAGCGTCTCATAGTGACACAGCGCTGTACATTCACACACACATATATATTTTTATGTATATATATATGTGTGTATATTCCCATATTCATATGTTCATTGTATGTGTATATGTATGTATATATACACGTGTATACATAAGTGTGTATGTACACCCTATTTGCACATCCATATGCCTTTCCCCTATGTGTGCATACACCCATGCATACACGTACGTGCATGCATGCATTCACGCCGCCACGCAATCCGAGGCTATTCACGCGACGCTACCCGTGCGGAATCGTCCGGTGGCGACACAACGCTGATGACCCCCCTTACTCTCCCCTGCAGCTTCCGTCCACTCTGCCCTGTCTACCTCGTCTCGCACTTCTACCCCTTCGAGGCGTCATTTCCGCGCAAAGACGATGGATGCGCTGCCGGGTGCCACGCGCGCGCACGCGTAACCCCACTGGGCGGCGCCAGCGGCGCCCGCGCGCGCGTGCTCACGGGAGTGTCAGGTGTTGCGCCCACCAGGAAACAAAACGAGGGCCTCGACAAATTTGTTTTTGCATTTTTTCATGTATTTATTGGTGGCGTCAAACGCGGTCGTCGCCGATCGCTTGCCCTGATTTAGCGATTTCGGTCGACGGAGGCACGCGAATCGCGCGAGTTTCCTTCTCGTAACTGCTTCTGCCGTGTGCCGCGTTTTCATGGCGCACGTGCCGCGCCTTGCCCTTTCAGATTCAATCGCTCGTACTAGTGCGCGGGCCGCATGCAGGCCGCAGTCCACGCGCGCTTGCGCGGCGCACCGCAGCGCGCTTCGAAACGATGTTGGGCACAATGGCATTTTTAGCGCAACGCCGCGAAATTGTTAGCCACCTCGCGCGGGTGATGCCGAACGCACGCGTGTCCCACCGCATGTGCGCCGCCGGAGCTAATTTTCCGATTTCGGTCGTGAATAGTATCGCGGGCGTGTGTCAGGCGCCTTCGACGCGCCATGTAGGCCCGCGCCGTGCGCGCCCACGCATCATGTCAGAAACATATCATCTTACTACTTCCGCGTAATGCAGCGCGTGCGTTGCAACGCTGTTAGCCAAGGGCGCTGGTGCGTCGCCGAAAACCACAGCCAGGTTCCCTTGGCAGGAGCCACCCTAAGGGGAGCCGCAAATGGTTCTCTCACGGTCCCGTTCGCAGCCGTTTGGTGGGGATATCTCAAGCGGTGTGCTTGTTTTCTGTCCCAGCATCCTTCGCTCTCGGAGTAGATTTGGAGGATGTCTCGAGCGAGGCGCTCCATTTCACCCCCCCAGGTGGGCCAGATTTTGAGGATGTCTCGATCGGTGGCCAGACTCGTGGGCGCTGGTTTTCCTGGGGAAGCCACAGGAGGCTCCAACAGGTTCCAGGAGGCCCCAGGAGACCACATGAGGTCCCAGGATGAATCAGGATGCCACAGAAAGACCCAAGAGGCCACAGGATGCCCCAAGAGGCTCTAGGACGCCCCAGGAAGCTCCTGGAGGCTTCAGGAAGCCACAGGAGGCCCCAGGAGGCCAGAGGAAGCGCCAGGAGGTCTCCGGAGGGCAACAGGAGGCCCCGAGAGGCCCCAGGAGCAGGAGGCCTCAGAAGGCAACAGGGGTGGCTCCAATCCCATGTGTTTTACGTATGCTCTCATATATTGGGCCTCACCTGGGGCACGAATCCTTGATGTTATACGTATGTTCCTATAGATTGTCCATCTCCTGTGTACTTATGTTCCTATAGGGCCTCTCCTAGGGCACGACTCCTTGGTGTTGTACGCGTGTTCCTATAGATTGCCCCTTTTTTCTGCGGCTCCAAGTCGCAATGTTTCATGTGCGACTGTTGCTATAGATTGGGCCTCTCATCGGGCACGAATCCTCCCTAGGAGGTCCCAGGAGGCCCCAGGGGGCCCAAAGAGGTTCCTGGAGGCCCCAAGAAGCCCCAGTAGGTCCCCAGGAGGCCCCAGGAGGCCCCAGGAGGACCCAGGGTCATGCGCAGAGACGCGCTCGTACTACTGAGGCTCATTCACACTCCAATTGATTCTCAGTTAGATTCATGACTAGACCGTCACAACTGAAACCCGTTTATACTCGAAAGTTTTTGCGCCTAGATTCTCACGGCGGACAGGTCCATGGGAATAAATGCGCATATGGGGAGCCCCACGCAGTGAATATTTGAATCCCCTTAGGGGGGTGACAATGAGCGCCTCGCTCGAGACATCCTCCAAATCTGCTCCGGAAGCGAATGATGTTGGGACAACTAACAGGCAAACCCGCTTGAGACATCCCGACAAAACGGCCGCGAACGGGACCGTGAGATAACCCCTCGGCGGCTCCTTGGGGACGTGAAAATGAGCGCCTCGCTCTAGACATCCTCCAAATCTGCTCCGAAAGCGAAGGATGTTGGAACAGAAAACAGGCAAGCCGCTGGAGACATCCCCACAGAACGGCCGCGAAGGGGACCGTGAGATAACCATTGGCTCCTCCCCTAAGGGGGGTGAAAATTAGCGCCTCGCTCGAGACATCCTCTAAATCAGCTCCGATAGCGAAATATATTGGGACAGAAAACAAGCAAACCGCTTGAGGCATCCCCACGAAACGACCGCGAACGGGGCGCGCGTGAGTCTCAGCATGAGTAAGTCTGAGTCGGAGCAGGTCTGAGTATGAGTAGGTATGAGTATGAGTAGGTATTTGTGTGTGAATATGTGTCTGAGTTAGTCTGAGTGTGAGTCAGTCTGTATATGAGTAAGTCGGGGCATGAGGAGGAGAGGGCAGGAGAAGAGTAAGAAGGTGTAGGAGGCGTCCAAGTAATAACAAAAAACCATCTTAGGATATGGCGAAAATGCAAACTGCACCAAACCCTCGATGGGGATTACCCGTCTGACATGCAACGCCATCCGCGCGGGGCGAACATCACGCGGTGATAACGGACTGGGGCCACCGTCACACTGTAAAATCCAATCCGCGAGCTCCCATCGGGGCATCCAGGCGCGCGGCGTTCCCCCTGCTGACAGCACGCCCTGAGAAAAAAAAAAAAAAAAAAAAAAAAAAAAAAAAAAAAAAAAAAAAAAAAAAAAAAAAAAAAAAAAAAAAAAAAAAAAAAAAAAAAAAAAAAACATGTCGCATATTTAGAATGAGGGCGGCTCGGCCATACCAATCGTCGCAACTGCTCCCAAATGTGCCGCCCCCCCCCCATCGGCCCTATGTCATTCAAACGTCCTCTGCATTGATGCGAACTGCCATGGCGGCGCACACTGCCCCCAACGACGGCCGACACCGCTGAAGGTGATCATTTTTCATAGAGACAATCACGATGCGACGGCCCATGCGGCCCAAAATGATTCACACCAACCCGAGGACAATCCAAGAGCTCCCAAAAAATACCGCGCGCTGTCAGCGAGGATGCTTTTCGGGCGCCATCAAACTGATCAGACACAAGAAAATGAAAAGGAACGTCACGCTCTCGCCCTTCTGGGTATTAGAGCGCTCGGCACCACCCGAAGAACCGCCCAAATCGCAGCAAAACGGCCGGAAAGGGCCAGAGGAAATTGAATGCGGCATGACCCCTCCTCTTTGTTATCTTCTACCCCCCGTCGCCCCACTTCGCCATCATACTAATCCCCTGCCTCCTCACGTTACCCCCCTTTTCTCCTGTTATCCTCCTCCTCCTTCTCATCCTACTTCGCCTTCGTCATCCTGGTGTTTTCCCACTCCCTCGCCCCCCTCAACCGCCCTCGTTATCCCTCCCCTCCCTTTCCCCGTGTCATCCACGCCTTCCGCCTCA